TGTGTGTGTGTGTGAGAGAGAGAGAGAGAGAGAGAGAGAGAGAGAGAGAGAGAGAGAGAGAGAGAGAGAGAGAGAGAGAGAGAGAGAGAGTTTTCTGATGAGCATGGTCTTTTTTTGTGTTATTGGTCTGTGCCCCTACCTTCACTGTGGTGCCTGCTGCTCTATATTTTTGCAGACTTGGATTCCTTACAGTCAAGGGAGTCTAGCAGAGGAAGGTGCGTTTGTGATGCTGCCTTCCAATGTGGGGAAGAGTGGGGGCTCAAGTAATGGAAATCCGAAAGGTGAAGAGCGTGGGTGCTTGTAAGAGTTTTTGCTTGTATTGTGTGCTTTTCTGCTTGCTCTTTCAGTGTTTTTTCTGAGTTTCCTTGAATGGCTACTTTAGTCGCAGAGAAACGTGGAATTGAGAATCGGATTATGAACGTGGACATTTTGTATTTGTTGTTTTGTCAGCTGGCAGGTGAGTCATATTTCAAAACTAATGTGATCATACTAGAGATCGAACTTGCAAAGCTTGGTGTGTTGGTCCTGTAGGGCATTGGTCATGCTGGCTTGTTTGCATTTGACAAGTGCCCTTGTGTGGGTTTGCTTGTAGCACGACAGGGTGGCACATTCAACCGGTGTACATGTCGGTTGAGTGGCAGGCGTTTACAATTGCAAGGATTTCAAGTACTTTCGACCTTTATTGTACTTTCACACATGATTGAGATTGGATCACACGATTGGAACCTCACAGTGGACTGGAGTTGAGTGGTTGCATCTAAGTAGTTGATGAAATGAGGAGAAACAAGTATAGAATCTATAGATTCTATAGAACTAACTGCCGTAGGCAACACACAACAAACGGATCAAAAAACCATGCAGTAAACTAGGACATCCCACTGGCTGTGGATTCGCCCAACCTCCTACTTCCAGCGCTAAATTTAGTGCACCTCTAGTACCACCAAGCAGCAAAACTTGACGAATGAGTTCTGAATGAAAATTGCTTTTTGCTCTGTCAGTTTCGATGGGCTACGCCTTCCCTAGCCTGCCGGGTCTGTCCTAGTGAAAATCTTGATTCTACTGGTATAGAAAAAAAAAAGAAGAAACGAAAAAAAAAGAGAAAAGGAAAAGGGAAAAAAGAAGAGTCTATTGCTGAAGCAATAACAACCTAGCACCATGCAAGAATGCACAGGCATCGTTTGCGGGGCAGAGCGCTGAATCCGCTGATCATAAGCACGTCAGTGTACTCCAGCTTGTGGTATCTGGCGTCCATCTGGTTGCCTGTGTACTCCGGCTTGTGGTATCTGGCATCCATCCGGTCGCCTCCCGACATTGTCATCAAAACACTTCGGACCCGAGCCAGGTGTTTCCTATGGACAGGTGACCCCAACAGATCTACCCGCATCAACAAGGTGGTCTGGCAGTACATGATCAGAAAACCGCAAGAGGGAGGCTTGGGACTACTAGACCCAAAACAGGAGTCGATGACATTACAAATGATGTGGGTTATTAAACTACTACTGAATCTCATGGGTTCGGACGGCCTTGGACAGCATTAGGAAAACTGACACCAAGCAGAACCCCCATTGACATGGCTGTTTTTCTCTGGATCATGGCCAAGGAATGGACGGCAAAAAGTTGCAGATCTGACAGAGAGAACCAGCGCCCATGGGACTGAAACCCTGCCAAACCTAACCCGTACTGGGCCTCAGTCCTGACGCCCTGGTGCAGATTAATGAGCAGCAAACATGGTTCACGGAGCAACCCCTCTCACTGGGCCTCAATCCATAGGGAAGAAGTACTCAGACAGCCTCTCTTGTGCAAACCCTTGGCTGAAAGATAGAAATGGTCTCTCCTGGTTCCTATCCAGAAAGTATAAGAGATGGCCCTCCTGGGTGGAAAAAGGAGTATGGCAGGTCTAGCGCATATGGTCGGAGGAACACAAGGGATGGAAAACAGAACAAGACATGTGCAACCTCCTCAAGGGCTTGCACTTCTTAGCGGATAACCTAGCCCTCATTCAGCAAAGTATTCTCTACCCTGGATAGGTCTACTAAGAGGAGCTCTCCTGGAAGTCAAGGGAGTGGGAGCTGCCGATCACACAGCCAATGCCGGCCAAAGCCTACCGCTTCGTGAGTCGAGTGGACACCACGCGTTATTGCTTGAGGTTCATCTCCTACCCTATCTCAAGCCTGAATCTAAGGGAAGTGGAGATCCTAAATGAGAACCCCATCGAGGAAATCCTTGAGACATTCCTACTTAGAAAAGTCATCGAAACTGGGTAAAGGGCCCGGTAAGAGTTTCATACGGAGATACATGGGTTGTTTATGGAACGCTGGACCCGTTTTTCAGCTGGTGCTGCTCCCCACCAACAGATCGGAGCTACCCGTAGCAGGCCATGCTAGGGGGAGATGCTCATATCGCCCCCTCTAGCACACTGACATGGGGTTTCTTTAAAAAAAAAAAAAAAAAAGTCCCAGTGCAAGCCATGGCTAATCTTTGAACCTGAAGTCAGCATCTCGGACCTGGAATTTGACCCCAAAGAGTGGGACTGGATTCAGAGCAAACATTAAAATACCAGACCAATCTCGGACTATGACTTTTAATTTGCCTATGAACTGGGCCTGAATACAACAGACCCATTTCCAGAAGTAACCAAGCGATGGATGAAAATTCTCAATTTGGACCCCGATGCAGACTTCAGGATCCTGTGGGAAGAATATCTATTATCTATCCATCAAACCCACCAAAGTTACGGAGTATGCAAGAGTTCTTCAACCGGTGGCTCCACGAAAGAAGAAAGCACTCCGAGTCTCCGACCCTCACAGCACCAATCTGTGTGCAATGTCTAGTAACAACGGTCCTGAAGATCTAATACACTGCGTACTCACCGGGCCGGAGCCTCCTGGTTCTGGAATAAGATCAAGGAACTTTGGGTCTCCGTCTTCTCCTCACCACCCACTAACACTACTCCTCTATCTATCATGCTGCACCCCCTGACGGGCAGCAATACGATCTGGTTCCAACTACTCAGAAAGCTGGCGCTTTGAAACATTTGGAAACGCCGATGCACACAGACGATTGAGAAGGCAGCAGTGGCAAGGGATGAGGCATGCCCCTGATGATCAGAATGGTAGAAACCGAAATTCATTGCAGATGGCACACGGTGAAACTATCAACCAAGCTCAAACGGAGAAGTTGGCAGTCAAGAAAAGAGCTTCCTTAGGGATTGGCTAGTCTGAGGGAAGATCGTGTGCATTGTCAACGACAGCTTGAGGTGGAAGAATTGGCACTCCCCAGGCCATCGACCAACAGCCCAATGAAGGCCAGGAGAAAAAGCAGAAAACAGAGTTTAGTTCATGTTTCATTCAACCACACACCCAGCTAGCCCTTCAAAGCAACAGATCCTGGACCACAACTGTTCTTGCTTTGGATATACATATACGGCGGTCTTAGCCATGGCTGAGATTGAGAGGAACAAGAGGGACAGGCAATCTGACAGCCAGTCCTACTTGTTGGAGCAATCAATGCTGGTCAGGGCTCCCTCGGCAGAGACAGAAGAGAGCATCGAGTGTGTCAATTTTATATTCAGTATTTACTCTTGCCGGTGGAAAGGAACCGGATTGACGAATGGTTAAGGAGCCAGGGCCAAAAGGTCCTGTTGTATGTGAAAAAATAGGAAAGAAGGAGAGCCTGTTCTAGGCTGAGCCTTTCTGAGAAGGTGACATAACTCCACAAAAGAAGCATGATTGTGCCAGACTGTTTCGTTGGACTTTCACAAACTCATCAGGGGGCTCTGCGCCGATCATGATAGACGACATCATGACGTGTGGCTGCTTGCGCTCTGGAGAGAGAGAGAGGGAGAGAGAGAGAAGAGAGATGAGAGGATTAGAGAGTATTGCTCCAACAGCTTGCTTTACAATGATCGGTCAAGTATGTGTGGTTAGTGATCGGTTAAGTATGGGTGGTTAATGATTGTTTGGGTGGTTAATGATCGATTAAGTATGGGTGGTTAATGATTGGTTAAGTATGGGTTAAGTATGGGTTAAGTATGGTAGTATGGGTGGTTACTGATTGGCCAAGTATCTTAATGTAGCTGGCAAGGTCCGTGGTGGAAATGCGTGCAGTAAGCAAGTTGTTTCTAGTCCTGGAAGACATGAGCCAAGTTGCTCCTAGGGTTTTGAGCCTGCGTTTCTTTGCACTCTGAACCTAGTCTGCGCCGTTGACATTCTCAAGGGGCTGCTGCCGGTGTTACCTCTCCAACATGCCATCATTGCTGATTCTCGAACCTGAATGACTATTATTATCTTTCTCCATGATTTCTGCTGCTCCATTCGAAGACTGTTGTCAATTCGTCATTCAAAGTAGCGGCTCCTTCAATCAGGCTAGGACCTTTTTTTTGACAGTATCTCTTTATTGGTGAAGTGAGTAATGCAGTGAGATTATAATGCTACAGGCTGGTTGATACTGCCAAAGTGTTGTTGCTGGACTGCAATACTAACGTGTGTGATGACCCGTCCAAACTTGGACTGAAACACACAGCTGATTTCTGAGTGCTCATAGACTGAATGCCTTGCTGAGTCTCCCGCCTGCTACTAAGTCTGTGTGTGCGCGCTTGCTGGACTGCATGTCTGTCTGAGTGCTGGTTGGCTTGAGTGTGTGTGTGACCCTGCCTGTCTGAGTGTTGGTTGGCTTGGGTGTGTGCATGACGGTGCCTGTCTGAGTGCTGGTTGGCATGAGTATGTGTGTGGCCCGTCAGGGCACTTGCTCGTTCGTTGGGCCCTCAGGGCCAGTACTTACCTGTGGCCGTGACATTGAAGGGTTGCAGCGGGGAAAAGCACTCAAGTAGCGGGTAGGCCGGTACCGCACCTGGAAGGGGTAGATGTGCAGGTACCGGAGGCCGAGCTGGCATTTTTAGAGGCCCAGTAGTGTAGGCTAGGTCTAGGCGGATACCAGTCTGAGTCTAGGGCCTGTACGGGCAATACCAGAGTCTGCAATGATGTTTCCCTCCAAAAAGGAGGAGGTACCGGTTGCTTGGGAGGCCAAGCGGCCTGGAAGTCACCGCCCAAGAGGCAAAGCAGGCCGCTATATCTTCGGGCCGGGCGGAGAGTCCGGCCTCTTTTTCGGTGTGCAAGTTTGGCGACACACTGGCTGGAGCAGCGCTAGGCTGAAGCAGCGCTGCTGGGGAGGAAGGAGAAGGACACGGGGGAGGAAGAAGGAAGGAAGGGGGAGGAGCGCCAGGGGTACTTACCTGGTTATGGTGGCAGCCATCTTCATCACCTTGGTGGGCGCTGCAGCAGGG